GAGATTGTTTTTTCGTAAAACCTTTTTTGAATTTTTAACTTTATTCGGCGACACTAAGAATAGTAACTGTGTGCTTATTTGTTAGTGTCAGTCAATTCACAATGATTGACAGGTTATCTGGATAAAGTGACTGATAATCGTTTATTTATAGATCGATTTGAGTATCATGTGTCTGTTTCATTAGAATACGAGATTTCTAGATATTATTCTTTTTATGTTTTCCAGTTTTTGGATTTTTTACTTCATCTATACTCCCAGTGAAACATAGGGCTCCAAGCTTTGCAACTGTTGTTTATTACGGGCAGGGGGAGATGTTGCTGGTCCTACGTTCAGCCTTCTTTCTTCCCTATGACTTACTATAGGCAAATAAACTAGAATAGGTTTAAGAACGCATCGGTAGGGAATCGAACCATGGACCTTATGTATGTATGACTGTCGAAGAATTCTGCAGTCGAACCACTATCGCTTCCAACTAAAAACTGAATGTAATTACTACTAATTCGAACATATTTAATTCAACTTTAGATTTTCCCATCGATTGATTGGAACAAAGGACTCGGTCTCAGGTTGACATGTCGACTCCTTGTGCAGATGCTTCGACGACGTCTGGTCATATAACTTGAAGTCAATTGGTGTATGGTGACTAGCCGTGGAATCCAGGAGACGCATTTCGTCCAATTTTGGTGGTATTGGTCATCTCGATGTACCTACATTCCTCAATAAGTCAGTGGTGATGTTCCTCCCGAGGCTCGAACCCAGTGCCCATAGTTTCAAACGCCATAGCTTTTCCACTAGACCACTTGGGGCACTAGTGTCACCTCTTATGCAATGGGTCATATCATTTATTTAATTCAATTTTAGATTTTTCCCATCAATTTATTGTGGAATGTTAACTGACGAGCCCCAGAAAGGACGAAATGCACCTTGTTCTGGATTCCATCACTGCTCGTCACCACCCTCCCACCCACCCACCAATTAATTCAAACGTACCTTAGAATCACATATATTGCTTCTAATATTTTTAAAATTTTTATTTTCAAGAGTACCATACACATCAGAAATACTTAGAAAGCCCACACAAAAAAGTTAAAACTCAAAAATAATCTCAGCAGTAATACAATTCATGTGAATGGAATTTTATCAAGTGTAGAAAATATCAACACCCACTCTCTTACTGTGATAAGTGTACTTCTAGTCACACAATTAATCCTACTTACTTAATATTATCACGTTGACATCAACGACAGTGTATCATATCGAATTATCCCCGCCCATACATACACAAACATCATACACTCAGAGGCACAGTTAAAAAAAGCGATTCATGTATGCATATATATACATGGTGCTAGTTAGACTAAAAACACGATAGAATAGCAATGCGATCATGTGTATATCAAATATCTCGGCTTTTCTTTAAAAAAAAAAAAAGAATACATTTCATTCATGTGAGTAGTTATCAGAAAATGTTTGAACCAACCACGTTTTCAAAAGAATAGATATTGAACAAAGCAAAACTCTTCTCGATAACCCCTTCATCATCAGGCTCTACAGTTATGTATATACATTATGGTGAATGAATGAATTGGTGTTATGAACAACATTAATGTTGCTTTTACGAGTTGATCACGGATTGATATCAGTTAGAGAACCATTGAAAACCAGGGAGTACTGGACAGCTGCTGTTTCATCCTAGTTTGGGAATCATCTGCAGTACGCACCCACTGGGTTTCGAACCCAGGACCTTCCAGTTACAAGGCAAGCTCGTATACCATTCAGCCACTGGGACCCGATTCATTGGCTCGTGAATTCTAACTTCTACTAATTCGTGATTTAGCGCGACCCCAACCATTGTCGTTGGTGGGACATCCATCCACACACGTGACATCTAATTGGACCTCACTGGTCACGACTTATCACTAGAACTCAGGAAACTCCAACCTGTAGCAAGTCACTAGCGAGCATCAGATTAACTTTCTATAGTTTTTGGTTTGTAAGGATTAGTTATGTTTTACGAGTTGATCACGGATTGATATCTGATGCTCGCTAGTGACTTGCTACAGGTTGGAGTTTCCTGAGTTCTAGTGATAAGTCGTGACCAGTGAGGTCCAATTAGATGTCACGTGTGTGGATGGATGTCCCACCAACGACAATGGTTGGGGTCGCGCTAAATCACGAATTGGTAGAAGTTAGAATTCACGAGCCAATGAATCGGGTCCAGTGGCTGAATGGTATACGAGCTTGCCTTGTAACTGGAAGGTCCTGGGTTCGAAACCCAGTGGGTGCGTACTGCCGATGATTCCCAAACTAGGATGAAACAGCAGCTGTCCAGTACTCCCTGGTTTTCAATGGTTCTCTAACTGATATCAATCCGTGATCAACTCGTAAAACATAACTAATCCTTACAAACCAAAAACTATAGAAAATTAATGTTGCTGTTTAAATAACATCGAATCAATAATAATAATAATAATAATAATAATAATACCAATCGATTAGAGTTCAATAGCATCAACATAACAATAAACTGAATGTCATAAAAATTAGGAAAGATAACAATAAAACAAATTCATGAATTTATAGTCTCCACTGAAGGCCGGCCAGGGCAGTAGAGGTGACTGGCTGAACTTGCTTCTATTGTACACAAAGCACCGGTTGTTTCTCGCGAATCGCAATAGCCTCTTCTGTTTGAAGCATGCGGTACTTCAATGTTTTTGATAATTTATTTGGCACCCGATAGATGACAGAGAAGGATTCTTCCACGCTGGCTTTGTGGCTGATTTGTACTAGATGGTCCAAAATCGAACTGTTAATGGTTCTCACTACGCTTTTACTTAACCATACTGGAAGGTGTTCTCCAGCACGAGCAACGACCAATATAACTCGCTCCACCACAAGCGCAATTGAATTGGTAGATACAATTTGAAGTGACTAGTCTAGTCTAGGTAATTCATGTTTCAGTCAAGGAATCACTATCGGTCGTGTAGAAAATAAGACGTGCAATTTGCCGGCATTAAAAGTTCTTTGAACTGATTTTTATAATTTCTCCGTAATTATCTCACTTCGTATATAGCCCTTGAATTGCAATTGTGTATATAAAGAGGCTTATTGTTTACGGATAGGGAATAGTTCTTTCCGGCTTTCTTTGTCATGTGTTTCTTGATAAATTTGTCGGGATAGCTATTTTCAATCAAAGTATAATATACAATGCTTAATTCATCTTCAATTACTTCTTCTGAGCACATAGCTCTAACTGTATGATTGAGGGTCTTTACTAAATTTTGATTTCAATTTGTTTCCATGCTCATTTTTTGTTCACACCTGTAATTCGTTCTATCCCTGCGTTTCTAAGCCTCTTGTAATTCATATCAAGTTGAAAACAATTATCACCTTTTATTTGACTTGGAATTATTTCTCCAGTCATCAAATATTAATATTTTGTATACGTTGTAACTATTTTCTAATCTATGAAATCTTGTCTCTAAGCCGCTTGTAATCTATATATTCGTACCTTCAAACTTTCATATCAAGTTGAAAAATATTATCACCTTCGTTACTATGTGGAATTAAACAAATAATAATTGTATCCATGTAAAATGATCTATATAAATGCGATTGTACAGCTGCTTTTGAGAATGAAATCGCCGAAAAGATCGACATCTTTACTGAACTTTGTGTTCTCTTCTTTACTAAATTTGTTTTGTACCGGAGAGGAACGAAGCTGTAAAAATGTGTGTATATTGTCCTGTCCAAGTACTTTTTTCTATGCAAATTTCTTTTTATGCTACCATCTGGTTTTCTTGTAAGGTAGACATCCAGGAAGGCAATTAATTCTGTTTTAGGATTCCTCTTCGCACGTGAATTTCATAGCTGAATGTACTTCATTGAATTCAATTATTATTGTACTCCTATCCGAATCATTATCACAAAGAATGAAGGTGTCATCCATCAGAACTTTCTGATAAGGTTGTTCAAAGGTCAATTTTGTAGTTTGCTTAGAAAGAAATCCGCCCAAATGGGACCCGATGGGGAGCCCATCGCCACCTCGTCCACTTGTCTGTAAAGCGTGCTGTGAAATTTGAAGTTTACATTGATGGTACACCTTAATAACAGTTCTTTTAGGATTTCAGTAAGGATATGCCAATGTTTATCGACTAGTTATCCAATTGTTCATATATGTAGTGAACTGTTTCTACTACAGGTACGTTTGTGAATAAAGATGTTATCCTTGATATTAGTATCCTTGATTTTATCTACGAATTCAAATACATCTTTGATGCTATATTTCACTATCTTCTCATGCAAATTATTATTATTAATATTGTTCCCTTGGGTTCCTAGTGAAACATACGGCTTCAACTGCACGTCTCCACTTGCTTCTGTCTTCCTTTTGCTGTACTTTTCACCTACATCCATCCATGTTAGTCCATACTATTTCAACTCCTCTTCACACCATCTCCTCCATGTCACCCTTGCACTGACGTCCACTCGCCGCTTCCCTCTCCGCCTGGTTCCACTCGAAAAATGGCCTGACGCGCGATGTCACCAACTGGCCTCCTCAGCGAGTGTCCAATCCATCTCCACTTTCTCCTGCATATGTGTCGGGTGATTGATTCTTGTTTTGTTTGTTCCCATAGTTTCCAATAGTTTGTGATTCTTTCCGACCCAGCCATCTGATCTGATCTTCAGTAGAGAGCGAAGACAGTTGTTAATAAAGGTCTGCAACAGGCTGTTGGTTCGAAATATTCTTTGTGACGCGTCCACCAAGTTTCTGATCCGTTCCGTATAGAAGAACTGACTGACTTGACGTTTGTATTGAAGATGTCATGCAAAGGTTTGATAATATTCAGTAACCCTCTGGGTAGAGCATGGTAGGGTGAATTTTGCATATCAAGTATTGGTCTTCACCACGCAAACACACACACATACACACACAACACTTTTGAGGAGAAAATGAAGAGATTTTGAGATAATAAAAAACGAAACAATCCAAAACTTACTCAAAATATCTGTTTCATCGACTATTTCAGCTTGAATAATCTCTTCGATAACATCTTCCAAGGTGACTAAACCAATCATTTCTCTGTATGGATCACATTCATCTTCTGTTACTAAACGTTCAACAAATGCCATATGAGCTCTTCCTATAATAAAAAAGAGAATAACATTCAATGGAAATATGAACACATGAAAATACACGAAAAGCTGCAGTATATAAAAATAAAAGACATGAAAAGGTTGACTGTTTTTGATCATAGATGTCTACGATCTCTTTCTCACGTTAGACGGTATAATAAGGTAATTAATGTTGACGTTAGGCGTAGAGTGTTGGGCAGAGAGAGAAAATCAATCGACGAGGCTATCAAGTTACATAGACTGAGATGGCTAGGTCACGTGCTGCGCATACCTAACCATCTCCTCCCCGACGACGGGCATTACTAGCCAGCTGATATAGGTGCAGGTTGGAAAAGAGTGAGTGGTGGCCAAACAAAAACATTGCCTCATCAATCCATGAAATCATTGACAGTTAAACTAAGTCAGGTAGGGTAGGAGATTCAGACTTCCGGGTTGGGGCCCTCGGGACTCTAGGATTCAATGGCTGGAGACAATAGGTGACACATGGCTCAAAGTGATCGTTGTCAATGGCCAGCGCAGATGTATTCAATCTCTGTAATCTTTCATATTCCTTTCTACCATTACCCATTCTGTTTCACTCTTATACTTGTCAGACTCTATTGATTCTCTTCACTCATCTTCTTGTCTACCTCTGTGTGCTATTTGGAAGGTGGCAACTCGAACTGGTGCACTTTGGTGCGAAGTTCTATGTTGAATCCAGACAGACAGATATAAAAATATGAAAATTTAAATAATATAGATGTGTAACACAGCCACCTAAAGTTTGCCTACTATGACACTCACCCAACAATACAATAAACAGTACGGGTTCTCTCTGCACAAGAGAATTGAATGAGAGGCTCTAAGAGAAATCGACAGAAGGCCCCGTGTATAAGGAACATGCCATTTAGAAGAAGAAGCGGAGGTTAGTTACACACTGTATCATAAGACAGTTCCTTACTATTGTTCCTGGAAGAAGCTTAAACATCGACCTTTTGAAAAAAACACCTATGACAACTACCAGAGTAAAATGTCAGCCTACATCACAGGTAATATTGTTCCTATTTAACCGAAAGAACATTTATCGAGATGAGTAACACAATATACTATGGTATTCAAGTACTGGTTTGTAGAGGTTTGATTGACTGCTTACAGGATTTCATCATTAACTGACAACGGTTAAAGGAACATTTGAAAACCACTGAAGAGTACTGGACAGCTGTTTCGTCCTACTTTGGGACTCTTCATCAGTACGCATCCACCACCAGTGTTTAAACCTAGGATCTTCTGGTTACAAGGATCCGAACTAATCGCCAGCCGACGACATAACGCAACTACTAGCCAATGTCTTCGCTAATGAGTATTTGTCCTCACACCCGACCTGCTGTACCCTACTGGTCACGACTTTTCAGCAGATTGCCGACTGCCTCCAACCATCTAATATCAAAGATCCTACAACTGTAGAATGAGAATAGCTTCACAAAGCATTACTTTCTATGCTCTGAAAAACTACCAACGACTTCATCTCTGTAAATTACTACCTTAAGCAGGTTATTAGAAACGTAAATCAACAAAACTGTTAACAATGAATAGGCCTAAATGGTAGAAACGATTGAAGAAGTACCCTATAAAAAAAGTGATGTGAGTCAAATTCTAGTGTTGACAGGAAACCCACACATTCAAACTGATTTTTGGATTTCCAACCATCCCATCCTATGTCAGTAAAAATAGGATTGGTGAAATGTTTAAATAATAGATCACAAAAACTTAGTAGTACCAAGGAAATTCTAAGGCGGGAAGTGAGGTATATAAGAGAAACTTTGAAACTTAATAATTACCCAGAAAAAATCGATCAGCAATTATTTAGGAAAATGTAAAACTAAAATGAATAATAATCGTAGTGATGGTGATAATAATAATAATATTGATAATATTAATGACGGCATGCATGTCAAACATGCACAGATTAATGACACCATCGACAATAGGGAATTCATATCATCAGTGGGACTGCCATACAAAGAAGGAACTTTGGAAGCAGGAATAAAAGTGGCCGTCATTCAAACCACCCACAAACCCAATTACAAACAAGCTTTACCGGTTGAAGCATCTTGCCAGTAGAGCAAATAAAACAAAACAATTCAGTTTACCTAATACCCTGCCTCAGTGATTTTCAGGTCAAATACACAGGTCAAAGTAGTAGAACGGTGTCACTCAGACTAGCAAAGCACAAAAACTTAACAACATTTAGATTGGTTGACCCAAATAAGATAAGGAAACCGGAGAATAGTTCATCTAATAGCAGCGCTCACTACATGCAATTACACACAACCACACAATAGAATCAATGGGATAAGATGACAGTTTTAAAATCTAAATGGTAAGACAGAATGGAGAGAGAGAGAGAGATTGATAAGAGAAGCTTTACTTATTGAATCCATTGCAAGTACACGTGTAACAGGAAGGAGTCAATCAACACCTGTCCTCCAGGACATCTGAAAAATTCTGCTACTCCTACTGTGGTGAGAGCAGGCTGCTAGCCGATTGGTTGACACTAATCTACGTTAATGTCTAGGTCACTAATATGGGCCGTGAGAAAATATGAACAAGGCTGATTCAACAACCAATCACAGCAAAGTTAACGTGGCAAAATATGATTCTCAGATAGAGAACTCTATTCGTCAAGGAATCCCGAAACAACCAATCAGAAGCCTGCGTTTGTCTGCAACCAATCAGATGACTGCACTTTTCTACTTGCATAAGCTATAATAATGTATGTGAAATATGTATAAATACGTGTTGATTTTTATAATAAAACGATCTGTTGCCTGGCCCTTGTCTTCTGTTGTTACACTACGACGGCAAATAGGATAGAACAAAGAAGACTATAAAAAGGGAAGTTTCAAAGTTTTGTGATTACACTTGATGATATGATGATTATGAACAGTGATAAATTGTGTTTGAAACTACCTAAACCAGTAAATACTAATACTGTTTCTCTGACTGTGTGATACATCTCATAAATAAGTTAATATGAGCCAAATTCAGTTGCCAGGTTGACGCTTTGGTATTCACTACTATAAAAGTTTCTGTACTTCCCAATAAATGAAAACATTGCAAACCTGACTGATAGAATTCAGTCTGCACCAAAGAAAGGACTAGACACACATCACACTAGTTACTAGTGTTAAATCAAAGTATCCACTACAGTCTTACAGGAGGTCAATTGTGAGCCAGCCCGAATAGCTCAGTGTTGGTAACGTCTTTGATTACAGCACTGGGTGACGCGGGTTCGAATCTCACAAGGGACATGAGTTCCTTCAAGGTTGTAGATACGTCTTGCTGACTGATGAATGCCAACTAGCATGAAACCTAGGTCCCAGCAAGGCTTCCTGTCGATTGCCTCCAACCATCTAATATCATTCATAATAATAATTATATATATAATACAGATCGTAAAGTGAGATCAGTTAGAGAACCATTCAAAACCAGAGACTCGTCTCGGTTTGGGACTCTTCAGTGATGCGTGCTCAACTGATGTTTATTAGTGACTGACGAAGAAATGGACGCCTTAGAGTTGTAGTGAGATGTCATGGGCAGTACGATGCACCTTATTAAGGTCAAGCAGATGCTCATCCTTGGCATTGATTGACGATAGCGCTATATTACTAAATGACAAGTTAAATATCCATGTGTCACCGATTTCCAACCTAGTGATTGAATAATGGATGAAGTGCCCTCACAACCTGAAGATCCCGCCCTGGGTTCAACCCACCGTAACGTCCCGGATGTCTGCTGTGGTGGTCTTCAGTGATTCCCTAAATGGGGATCATTTTGTGAACTACCTTATCAGTGGGTTGTATCCCTAATCCTGAAGACTGTCAGACACTCTCTGAAGTTAGGATCTGCTTCACCTTTTGTTGAAGTCAAAGACTTCATCAACGGGCTTTGTATAAACATAAAATTTGCAATTTGTTGATTATCTGTGACAATAATTTGTTTCAAGACACTAATCAATAAGAAAAGTCAAGAACATTTAAACAAAATATACGTATGACATAAAAATTACATTTGACAAACAAACTTTAAGCGACTTAGTTGGGAATGAGTGTGTGGGTGGTCTGGGGGCAAAAACGTCAACAAGTTATCAGGAGGAGTAGTCAAAAACAGCCCTAATCATTCCTGAGAAGTGATTAGAAAAGTCAATGAGCAGAATAACATTAGACTAATTGGAAACATGTACGACTTATTTTAATTGTAATACTACTCTATACAAGCAAATTCATTCAGTACTAATCTGAGATGTGAAATTCTCCTCCATAAAACTTCCGCTTGCTCTCAGTACCCTTAATTAATCTTTCATGTTCCGGCTTATAATTCACATCCCACTGACTATGTGAGGTCAATCACTCACTGGTTTCAACATAGAGCTTTGTACAGATGAGCGGCGATTCAAGTTGTCACACTCCACTCCATGTAGCACACACAATGCAAGCGAAGAGAGTAAAAACAGATTCGAAGGACAGTGAGATAATAAACAGAAGGGTGATTGACAGTAAAAGAATAGTAATATTGTAACAACAGAAGACATGGGCCAGCTAAACAGATCGTTTATTAAGGAAATCAACATAGATTTATATATTTTCATGTACATTATTATAGATTATTGTAAGCAAACAAACACAGTCTTCTGAATGGTGGTTTATCGTGGAACGTTAATCTTCCATCTCTTTGTGGCCGTTTATTGAATTTCGGATTATCTATCTGCAAATTATATCCGCATGCGCAAAGTCTGCAGTGATAGGTTGTTGAATCAATCTTTGTTCATATTTTTCTCACGACCAATATTGGAGACATAAACATTGACGTAAATTATTGTCTACCGATTTGGCTAGCAACCAGCTCTCACCACAATATGAAAGAACAATACAGTCTGATTGGATAATGTAAGTCACAAAGAGTGGATGGATATGCGCCAGCCATTAAAAACGAGGATTTTGAGCCAGCCATATCATGAATTGTCTACAGCCATTGATTTTTACCGTCCCGAGGAACCCACGCAGGAAGCCTATACCTTCCTACATGTCTGGCTTAAACTAACTGTTGTGGATTCCATTGACTGATGAAGCCATGTTTTCGTTTCACCACCACCAGTGGCTTTCTCTCATCTAGTTCAAGGAACCTTCGAGGTGAAGCTGAAGTCCTTCGGAACAACTAGAAACTGAACTGAAGGACAAAACTACAAGGGATACGTTCACTACACATCACATCAGAGCAAAGCTGGAGACACTGCCTGTTGTCAACAAGGAAACCTGCTTTGAAGAAAATTGGGACTAACTCTCTGAAGGCGATATTCAAGGAAACGTGTGCAACCGTTCTAGGAAGAAAGAAGAGACAAGACAACAGACACCTACCTGGAAGCTAATAGAAGAGAGGAGAGGAGGATGGTGTAATAGAAGACGACTCAATGCAAAGACGCACAACAGAAGGAGAGGCTGAGTTCAATGTACACTACACTGGATAAAGAGAAAAGTAAGGGAGGGTGCTAAGAAAGACAAAAGATAATTTTGCGACAGACTGGCCGGCAACTGAAGCAGAACAATCAGGTTGCAGGTAGAAGAGACCTTAGAGCATTATATCAGATAGCCAGGTCTCTAGCCGAGAAGAGATAACTCAAATGATGAAATCAATAAAAGATGTTCAAGGGAACCTGATCACCAAGGAGGAGAAACAAATCAAACAATGGGCTGATTACTTTAAAAGACTCATGAATCGACCACCATAGGCAACAAACACGCCCAGAAATACCAACAAGAGCATGTACACAACTGCCTGCCAGTGGACACCAATCCTCCAACGAAAGAAGAAATCCTGAATGTGATCAAGCTACTGAACACTGTCCAGGAAGGCAGCAAGATCAGATGGCATTCCTCTCGAAGTACTGAAGGCGACCCAGAGATTACGGCAGATGTTCTCACTCTATTACCGCAAAACCTTTGAAAAGAAGGTGCCTGCCTACTGATTGGAAGAGAGGCTACCTCGTCAAACTGGCAAAGAAGGATGACTTAGGCCTCACTCTGAAAAAACTGGCGTGGAATAATGCTCTTATCCACTTCAAGTAAAATACTAATTCGCATCGTCCTGCTCTCGGGCTCTTCAACAGTACATACACAGATTTCAACCCAGGACGTTTTAGCTATAAAGTGGGCTCGTGGACCATTAAGCCACTGGGACAAAACCTCATCTAATGGCCAGAGAATGCCAACTTCTTTCTTCCGATTCCTGATATACATGTAACGCAACCACCAGCCAATGCTATCGGTGAGTAACCACGCTTTTACCTGGCATATGATGGAACCCGCTGGTCATACCTTCTTATCACTAGAAGTCTAGGTAACTTTCTGTATGTAGACAGTCACTAGTGAGCATCACATCAATTAATCTGGTAGATAGATAGATAGACAGACAAAGATGTTATCTAGAAATTCCTAATAAACAACTAGTAGCTAACATTAGTAGGTCTGAACACTAACCGTATAAATACGCCCACCATCAGCGGAAACTATTAGATTCGGGGAGCTGTTATCATAAACACAGTGTTCAAATGTATGATAATACTGCATAACTGACGCAATTGACGTTCTGTTCTGTTCTATTTTCGACAAAGAACCGATGTGCGGCAGTTCAAGTCGCCACTCTCCACTCCATGTACCACACAATACAAGAGAAGAAAGTACAAGAAATGCATAATAGAGACAGTAAACAGAGGTGTGAGACAAAGGAATAGTAATAACGAAGAACAAAATAGTTTCATTGGAAATCATAGGTCACAGGGAGTGGATGCATCTGCACCAGCCAGCCATTGAGAACGATCACTTTGAGCCATATCACCAATTGTTTCCAACCACTGGTTTTACCGTCCCGAGGACCCCAACCAGCCAGAAGTCTACAGCTTTCTACGTGGCTGGCTAGCTTAAAATAACTGTTGTGGATATGTTGTAACTTCACAGCCTCGTCGATTGATTTCCCCTCCCACATACCTAGCAATCGACAGACGCCTCACCTCAATATTGTTCACATTATTATACCACTTCACACAGGATGTAGATAGAACGCAGGCATCTATGATCAAAGACAGCTAATCTTTTCATGTCTTCGACTCTCAATGGTCAGGTCTCACTGACAGCCATAAAGGAGGACGGAGCGGACTGATGAGCAGTATACCCGCCCTCTGGTCAATAGCCAGCCGGATACCACGTCTACGCCAGAGACGGCGTAAACTGGCATACGCGAAACTAGCCCTCTGTATCCGTGTTGAGATTTCGTCAGAGATCAACCCGTTGGTGTTGGCTGATGGTACTCCTCAAACAAGTGAACGCGCGGTCAACGTGGTCTACCACTTCACTTCAGTGTAATCCAGTCCTGTAACATCGTGTAACGTAATTGACGTATACACATACACTAATTATTGTGATAGCCATCAGAATGATAATATCAAGTGTGTATGTATGCAGAGGTCAAATATGACTAGAACGCTCATACACCCATACACACACACAAACGCTCATGGAATTAATCATGACATCACACAAATAAAGGTACCCCACACACAGCCTTACGAATAAACAAATAACAACAATAACAAAATTTGTCATTATTAATATTTTAATAAAATAACACGATACATTGTAACAAGATAAGCATATATTTATCGGTTGAACTTTAATTTTGTACAAAGTAGACCACAAAACCAGGGGTGGGAGTCTGTATAGATAGATGACTGTTTACAATACATATGTATACAATGATAATGGTGTGAATATTTTTAGAGTGATATTCGAGCGTATCATTAAGTTCACTAGTTTGTGGTATTTAATATCGTTTGATAGACATCGCTAACTAGGCTGCACGAGGCTTTAGAGTTAAAAAATATAAAATTATCAACCGTTGGTTTTTACACAGGACGATTCGATTTGATTTGATCGGTTACAAGATTTCATCATGAGCTGACATCAGTTAGAGAACCTGATTGAAAAACCACCAAGAAGTACCGGACATCTGTTCCTCTAGTTATGCTTTGGGATTCTTCATCCGTACACACCCGACTCCAGGATTCAAACTCAGGATCTCCTAGTTACGAGAAGCGAGGTCGTAAAACGTTAAGTCATTGGGACCCAGTGGTCAGTTTATGAATTCCAACTTCTGCTAATTTGTGATATTATAACTTAGCGCAATTGCTAGCCAATGTCCCGGGCAAGTCACAAGGAGTGGATGCATCTGCGCCAGCCACTGACAACCATTTTGAACCATATCACTGATTGTATCCAACCACTGGTTTTTACCTTTTCGAGGACCCCAATCTGTCAGGAAGTCTACACCTCCCTCCGTGTCTGGCTTAAACTAATTGTTGTGGATTTCATTGACTGATGAAGCCATCTTTTCGTTTGACCACCACTGGCTCCTTTCCAACCTGAGCCTATGTCAGCTAACATTGCCTATCGAGGAAGGCCGACTGATAGCTGCTACCTTCAAGTGGTGATCTGAACTGCATATCTCAATGACCCAACAAGCTGCACTGGCTGGAACTATTGTTCCTGCAGGTCCTACCATGCCAAGAAGGTTGTTAGGATAGCGATTAGACTAAAATCAGTTACTGGAATTGTGTAAGAATTTTTGTTACACTATGCTGGGGGTCTGTGGCCGCAGTCTTACTTCTGGGGAACAAGGATGTAACAGCAGTAAGGTATTTCCCTCATATGATCAGCATGCCAGCCAGCTATGGTGTCTCTCCACTCTGGAGAGAAAAGGTCGTCCCCAAAAATTGTACATCCCGACTTGCTCTACGATGATGGTCCGTAACCGGCGGTAAGTTTACTGATACGGGACCAATCCAATAAACCAGTTCATACAGGCCGTGTATGACCGGCCTCAAGCAGTTGTCCCTTGGGCTCTTCGGTCACGCAATACTAACCCTCTTTCTGTTTCAGGTACCCGAAGAATCAATCAACTTCTACGGTGTGGGCAGCCGGCCACACACTTCCAAAAGCACACGAAGCCTTCCTGAGCATCATTGGTAAAAGTTAGAATTTGTGGACTGGTCTTTGGATCAGGTCCTAGTGGCTGAATGGTATACGAGATAGCTCGCCTTGTAACCAAAAGTTCCTGGGTTCGAACACCCTGTGATGGGTGCGTACTGCCCCGATAATGTCCAGTACTCCCTGTGGCTGGTTTTCAATGGTTCTCTAACTGATATCAATCAATCAATCCGTGGCCAAACTCGAAAGATAAATGTTTAAAGAGAAAAAAAGGAGAACCAGCTCACCTTGACGAAATTCTTTCAGCATCACTTCTAAATTCGTTGAATCCAATACAATAATAATTGAACGATTATAAAAATCGCATACAGTTGATACAGGCACCTTATCATCTGTATTAATAAAGGCTAAATCTTTCACGTTTAATACAGCTCGAATATTTTGTCTATCATTCTCGTAGACAGGGATACGTGTATAACCGTGTGAAAAGATTTCATTCATTGTATGAAAATCTAATATAGCTGAATAGGATAACATAAAGGCATCAGATAGTGGAGTCATAACATCAGCAACTGTTTTTGTCGTTAATGCCAATGCACCGGTAATAATATTCATCTCGTCTGTGGCGACTGTTCCAGCCAAAGCCTAGTGCAGAAAAAAATAATAATAAAGGAGATTAATTAGAAAAGCCAGACAATAATATACTACTATGTTTTCTAATATTTAAAATTATTATATTATTATTGTTGTTCCCTTGGGTTCCTAGTGAAACACAGGAAGGCTTCAACTGCACGTCTCCACTTGCCACTTCTGTCTTCCTTCTGCTGTACTTTTCACCTGCATACATCTTAGTCCATACTATTTCAAATAATAATAATAATGATTTACTTTATTCCAAAAACAGTACTTGTGATACAGAATGGAATTTTCAGCATTAATCACAATATTGCATCTAATTTCCTCAAATTATAAATAAAATTAATCACAGAAATCCTCCTCTTCACATGATCTCTTCCATGTCACCCTTGCACTGACGTCCCACTCGCCGTTTCCCTATCGGCCTGGTTCCACTCGAGAAATGGCCTGACGCGCGATGTCACCAACCGGCCTCCTCAGCGAGTGTCCAATCCATCCATCTCCACTTTCTCCTGCATATTTGTTCGACGATTGGTTCTTGTTTTGTTTGTTTGTTCCCATAGTTTCCAATAGTTGGTGATTCTTTCCGGCCCGGCCATCCGATCTGATCTTCAGAAGAGAGCGAAGACAGTTGTTAATAAAGGTTTGCAACAGGCTGTTGGTTCGAAATATTCTTTGTGACCCGTCCGCCAAGTTTCTGATCCGTTCCGTATAGAAGAACTGACTGACTTTACGTTTGTATGTAAAATCCGAATTTTGTTGTTGATGCTGAGGGAGGGTTGGGGGGTGGTGCTAGCAACTTCACCCCGAAACTTAACCGAATTGCTACAGAAACTTCAACGCACAAATATATTGAAAATATTTTAAAATAACCAGTCTTAAATTTTAAAAATGTATGTTCAATTATATTACTGCTTATGGATCCATTATACCTGTTCTGTAGCCAACCGGGATAGTGTGCTCCTTCAATCTTTCAAGTGAAACCCGCATTGAAGGACCTATATACATCGCGCTCCAGAGGAGCAGACATAGATAGGTACATACACACAGAAGTGGTCAAGGCAAGCTTTCATTACTCTCAAGTCTGTGTGGAGGTCAACAGCAATCAGCATGGAAAATAAGATGCGGATTTTCAACTCCAATGTGAAGTCAGTCAGTGCTACTCACTATACGGATCAGAGACTTGGCATCGCGTCATGAAGGGCACTTCGAACAAACTACACACCTTCATCAACAGCTGTCTTCGCTCAATGCTACTCAACATCAGATGGCCGGCCAGAAAAGATGAACAATAAGGAGGGATCTCTGGGAGCCAACCAACACAGCAGGAACTAATTTTTCAACAAATAGGCAGGAAGAAATGGAGGTGGATTGGCCATACTCTGAGAAAACAAACCATCAAATGGCATCACACGAAAGGCTGTCGCTCCAGTGGAACTCGAATGGGAAGTGGCGAGTTGGTTGTCATTGCGAGGGTGGGGTGACATGGAGGAGGTGATGTGAAGAGGAGAAGAAAGCATGTAGGCAGACTTGGAGCCAGGTGAAAACGTTAGCAGAGAACCGAACGCAATAGAGACGCGCGGCTGAAGCCGTATGTTCCTCTAGGAACTAAAGGAAAAAATAATAATAATACACAGGGCGTTTGATATTCTTTTCTTCAGAGTATCATCCAGAAGGTCGCCTTTAAACGCTGCATTCATGTATAGGATTTTCTTCGACAGTGAAATCGGGTGTCCTTTGGCGGTTTGGGTTTTACGTGTTTATCTTTAAACCATTGAGGGACGGGAGCCATTTTTTTCGATAAACATGTAAAACCCGAAACCAACAAAGGACACCCGATCTCTTTGCTGAAGAAGATGCTATACATGAATGCGGAGTACTGAGGCGACCTTCTGGCCGACACTCTGAAGAAGAGAATATCAAAAAACCTGAAAAGACTATTGTTTGCCTCTACATTAAGACTGCTATTATCTTGCCGCCCAATGTTCTTCAATGACTTTAAAGATAAACCACCACATTTGACCACTTCTATGTGCTTTTAACTGATGAGTGGTGACTAGCAATGGAATACATAACAACGCGCATTTAGTTCTATTTGGGTCTCGCTAGCTGGATGTACCTGCATCCCCCGATGAGTGATGATGTTCCCACCAAGGCTCGAACCCAAAGCCAATAGTTTCAAACGCTAAAGCGTTATCCACTAGACCACTCGGGTCACGAGAGCCACCTCTTGTGCAACAGGTCATATTAATTATTTAATAAAATTTTAGATTTCCCCTTCGATTGGTTGGACCGAAGTGCTCGGTCTCATGGCGACATGTTGGCTACTTGTGCAGATGCTTCGACGATGCTTGGGCATGTATTTAGATTTTAATTAGTGGATGGTGACTAGAAGTGGAATGTAGGATGCGCCTTTCGTCCTATTTGGGACTCGTCATTTGGATGTACTTCTTTGTACATCTACCTATTCACCTGCCCAACTGGAGCGAGGTATAAAGGTCCTTAACTGCATGTTTCACCTGAAAGGGTGAAGGATCACTATTCCACTTGATTACAGAAAGGTCACTATAGATCAGTAATGAGTGCTATAATTGGGCACACATATATTCAACACTGGCCACTCAATATGTAAGTAAAATTCATTCAAAGTTATGTACAGAGTTAAATGAAGCCACTCAAAAGAAGTGTGCTTTTATTTATTTTTATTTTTGATTTACAGCTTGATTCTACACTGTACTTTTTGGTACAAGTATGGAATTTTCAGCATGTGATATCGGTAGCCCAAATTTTGCAGGCCGACCATAGATATCAGGTGTGCTTCGTCGGCAGGGGATCGAACCTCGGACCATATGCATGCGTTACTGAAGCTTTAGCGATACAGATCGGAAAGCTTGATTTACAGAAATTACATCCAAAAACACAGAAGAGAGGGCCTACTGGAGCGCATTAAACACTTGACACAAACAATGAGTTAACAATGTCAAAATTTTCAAGTGTGAGTTTCCAGTGTCTTTATCGGCTTTAAGCAAAGTCTGTCTGTCTGTCTATTTTCGACATAGAAATTTGCACATATGTGCAGAAGTTCAAGTCGCCACACTCCACTCCATGTACCACACAAAGCAAGAGAAGAAAGTACAAGAAATGCATCACACAGACAGTAAACAGAGGTGTGAGACAAAGGAATAGAAGTAACGAAGAGCAATATAGTTTCATTAGAAATCATAAGTCACAAGGAGTGGAGGCATCTGTGCCAGCCAGCCATTCAGAACGATCACTTTGAGCCATATCACCCATTAATTGTCTCCAGTCTTCATTGGTTTTTACCGTCCTGAGGACCACAACCAGCCAGGAAGTCTACACCTTCCTACGTGGCTGGCTAGCTTAAAATAACTGTTGTGGATTTCATTGACTGACCAAGCCATGTTTTAATTTGACCGCCGCTAGCTCTTTCCCAGCCTAACCCCATGTCAGCCAACATTACCCATCGAGGAAAGCGATGACTAAGCATACGTAACACATGTCCTAACCATCTCAGTCGATGTAGCTTCACAGCCTCGTCGATTGATTTCCCCTCCCACATACCTAGCAATCGACAGACGCCTCACCTCAATATTGCTCACCTTATTATACCACTTCACACGGGATGTAGATAGGACGCAGGCACCTATGATCAAAGACAGCTAATCTCTTCATGTCTTCCACTCTCAATGGCCAGGTCTCACAGCTAGCCATAAAGGAGGATGGAGCAGACTTCTGAGAAGTACACCCGCCCTTTGGTCGATAGTAAAGTCACACAGATTGACGTCAGTTAGCAAGCCATTGAAAACCAACAGTGAGCAGCAAACAGTCGTTTCGTCAGCCTAGTTTGCGACTCTTCATCAGTATGCACCCATGACTACAACTTAGATCGAATCTAGAAGATTAAAGTTAGGCAACCAGCCTGCTGATCATTTAACCACTGAGGTACGTATGCCAAGCCATCGCCTTCCTCGACAATGAGCAATGTTAGCGGATATAGGGTCAGACTGGAAAAAAGCTGGCGGCGGTCAAACAAAAACTTGGCACCAGTCAATGAAATCCACAACAGTTGGTCTAAGCCACGTAGGAAGGTGTAGACTTCTGGCTGGGGTCCTCGAGACGGTAAAAATCTATGGTTGGAAACAATTGGTGACATGGCTCAAAATCGTTCTCAGTGGCACATATGCATCCACTCCTTGTGACTAGTGATCTCCAATGAAACTGTTTTGTTCTTCGTTATTACTCCTTTGTCTCACACCTCTGTTTACTGTCTCTATTATGCTTTTCTTGTACTTTCTTCTCTTGCTTCGCGTGCTACACGGAGTGTGGCGACTTGAACTGCCGCACATTTGTGCAAAGTTCTATGTCGAAAACAGACAGACAGACAGAGGTAGAATTCAATAGCGCATGAAAATGGCCTAACTAAACTCTTCATTGTATGACAGATTACGTTTGCTGTGTAGGGTAGCTAGTTGCATTTTAGATGCTTTTATCAACGGAAATTTTACTAAACATATACCTCAATATTTGGCCACCTTAAATGTATAAGCAATGATCGTTTGCTATGGAACACATGAGGCGTTCACACTCAAAATAATGCAGAAGATTTACAGTTTAAGGTGAGTATTTCTGGCAATAATGTGTTTTAAGCTCAGCAGTTTAATCGCCAGATTACATTGAACCATCCAACCGAAAGTACAGAGAAGTACTAAGAAGAGGCTACATCATTTTAATGTGATACGGTTGTGTGATCTTTGTAGTGGTAGAATAAAACAGAGGACAGAGTTGTGTTTAGTTATACTGTTCTTGGAGAAAAATGGCGATTCAATCAGTGTGGTTGTAGCCTGCATTTGCTGAGATAATCAAAATATTGAAAGCTAGACAAATACATCTACCATCAAGTTAGACACTGAGTGTTCGTTGAAGTATGATTATATACTGGACAGGAAGTAAATTTCGCCAAATCAAGATTCATGATTTCCTTGACGGAA